ACGCTGTTCAACATCTTCATCAGTGACTTGGACGATGGGGTAAAAAGCACCCTGTTCAAATTTGCAGATGACACTAAGATGTGGGGGGATGTGGGCACGCTAGAAGGGAGGAATAGGCTGCAATTGGACCTAGACAGGTTACAAGGGGTGGGCGGATGAGAATAGGATGGGATTCAACACTGACAAGTGCAAAGTGATGCAGCTGGACTATGCATACCGATTGCAACACTGACAAGTGCAAAGTGATGCAGAACTCATCCTTATACTATCTAGCTCCATTTATATGTATCCATTACTTACACCATACAAAAGCATGCAAACACCCTCCAGCTGATACTGATTTTTGTTAGCTAATACTAAATTATAGTGTTGTCTCATTATTCTATATCAGGTATTCCTGTTGATACACTCTGCAGCTCTGATCCTCCTCAGTTCCTAAAGTCTCCAACAGAATATCCTAAGTTGCCCTATAGAACATGCTGTTTAAGCAAATTCTGTGAAATGATATGACAAAGCTCATATATCAGTTATCTGCTCATGTCAAGCCCAATCAGGCCTAAGTTCTACTTATGTCAAGGCTGTATCTCTAAAACTAATTGGTCCTAGGGCTTCACTGTTTATCCCAACTGCATTAAACTGTACTCTTTAGGCTACAGAAGCAAAGGTGGATTTTGGAGATTGCAGACCAGAGACCCTTATTTTAGTACCAAGTGTAAGGATGGCAGTGCCAAAATCTATCTTCACTGGGGATTTGTTCTGGTTACACCTGCCAGCATCAGTACAGACACAAGGGAGACAAGCTAAACTACATATTCCAAAAAGTCCAAAAGCTTGCATACCCTGATTGGAAGCATGGATAAACTTCACTTGTACAAAACTCAAATATAGTGCTTTGTCTGTTTACACAAGGGCTTTTGTACTGGTGCTGCCCTCTTGGTGGCTGAAATCAGAGCAGTTTTTATATCAAAGTGTATACAAAGCTTAATGAGAAAAGAGTAGAACATTTGGCTTTCACCTGATAGAGTCAAAGCAACATTGTTTGTCAGCAAGACCCTTTCCTCTTTAGAAAAAGTTAACAATAGACAGTCACTGGTAAAAGGAATCTCTTTGATATACATTTCTTTGGCTTTTCACACCACTTTCACTGAGATCCCATATGCAATCTTAAAAGAGAAGCAGTAGCCATAGAGTAAGAGGCAAGCTTTGATGAAACAGAACTTCTTGAAGCAATAGAAAGCCAGGTTGTATATGGAACTTTCTTAGGAGAGGGACTAATATTACATTGTCTCAAGGAATAGTGGAAGTTAGAGGAACAGAGGAAGTTGGAAGGGGGTTGTGTCAATGGATTGATAGCACCTAGCATATATTTTTCAATTTGTAAGAAACTCCAGACGAATTTAAATGCATTGGAAGTTTTATGACAGAGAATTTGTCTTAAATAAGTGTAAAATAATGCACATGGGTTAAAAAAATTGTCTTTCCTTCCTATTTGTTGCAATGAAATTTGAAGGTATGAGATCTTCCATTGAAAACGGCTGTGATAGCACTGGTGCTAGTGGAAGCCAGACACATGCACATGAGAAATTTGGCATAGATTTCTAGTAGCGAGCGAGATTAGCCACTGGACCAAACTGTCAAGGGAAGCAATGGATTCTTCAGCTCTGGATAGCATCAGATCAAAAGTGGATGCCTTTCTGGAAGTTATGTTTAGTCAGACACAAGTTATTGAACTACGTACAGATTGCGTATGGCCTGCGATAGGCAAAAGGTCAGCTCAGATTCCCTAATGGTCCTCTTGTCTTCAACTCACTGAATCAATGAATAGGGAAGAATTGTCTGCACTTATATAGAGCGCTCTGTCCAATTTTGGCCAATTTAAGAAGCACCAACCTGAAATGCAAGGAGCTAGAAATGAGCAGGATGCAAAGAAAACTCCAGAGTTCACCTATAATGAGTGATATTTAAATAATAGCATTATATAGCATAGACGAGTGGCATGAAACATATGGCCCATAGGCCAGATCTGGCCCACAGGCCCCATAATCAGGTCCACAGTCCTGCTCCCATATGCTGTGCCAGACTGGCCTCCCACAAAGGGCCAGAACGTGTACAGCATGTGGCATTTGCTTGGTCCGATCTCAGACTGCCAGACGCAGTGCCTTGGGGGCAGGTTGCTCATTGGGGCTAGTCCCATGCTACACCGCACTGCCCACAGAACTCCCCGGGGCTGGGTACCAAGCCACAAAGCCCACTTGGGCCAGCATCCCAGAGTGGTGGGTGCTGCATACACTGGATCAGGTGTGTTGGTGGGTTGAAACTTGGTGAAATAGTTCAGTCTCTTAACACTTCTCTGTTGAGAGCAGGGGTCTTACTCATCTGGTCCCAGGGGCCAAATGCATAGCACAGAGCTAATCTACAGGTGGGGTCAGGCCTACCCTAGATGGAGAAGTGTTAGAGACCGAAGTATTTCATTTTTACTAGAACTTTACATGATCTGATCTCCAGTATGGGAACAAGGAATCACAGTATAAAGATCAATGGTTGATATGTTTCAAACCAGTGCTATTTCTGTCAGTAAAGTCAGCTTGTGAAATTGAATACCAGAGGGGGTCAAAGAGTCCAAAGCTGGTAGTGATATTTAAAAGAACTAGGTAATTTTGAGACCACTAATAAGAAATTGTGGTTATACATGCTAGGGAAAGAGTAATAAAATGTCATGCTCCAGGATAATAAACTGAGTGATTACCATATGGCCCAGCAAAAAATTTTCCCATCCCCCCCGCCTTAGGCTAAGCCTTGAATAATTGCTTGGGAGCTTTGTGTTTTTCGTGGTGGTTTTTTGTTCTTCTGTCGCAATGGTGAATGGCTGTTGTTAGTCAGGATAGTGTACTTGACAGATTAAAAAGCCTGATCTGCAAATCCTGTGCATATAAGAGGATGGATGAACATTAGGGAGGGAAAGAGGCAGATGAGCTCTCTTGCTTAGAAATCCTTGCTTTTCTGGCCTTGCCTCTAATTGTTTTCTTAATATTTGCAGCCAACCTTCCCCTGGTTACTTCAGTGCTGATCAAGTCCTGGACTTCATGCTGCAGGCTCCGAGCAGAAGTGGTACAAAAAAGGTAAATCTTAGGGAAGGTGGTACAGGAAAGAGGACAGGCTGTGTGCGAGGATGGGACTGTAGCAGCAAGTTCCCAGGACTCATGCCAGTCCCCTCTCTCCCCATTTCTATGTTGTTGTTCACACTATATGTCTCTCCCAACTTTGAGGTGGTGGTGGTAGATGGCAAAACAGGTCTCCCTATTTGGAGCCATAACCTCCCATGTCGCATGCAAGAATCAGATGCGCTATCAGTAATGACTTTGGACAGGAAATCTGTTTTTCTCTTCTGGGCTGATGAAATACAGCCTGCATCACAAAGTCTGGTAAGTGATTGCCTTTTTATCACTTGGAATGTTTCACTGTAAGGCCTGTGCTGTCTCTCTCCTTTTCCTTATATCTTCTTAAGTTACAACGTTATTGAAATTTAAGCCTAGCCTTGCAGGAGTAGATTGTCCTTCTGGTTCTGACTTGTGAGGTGTATGTGTGTGTCTGTGCACACATAGGTATTTTCAAGCTGCTCAGGAAATTTCCATCAGAATGATTTTCTAACAAAATAAATCACTTCCACAAAATCAAAGTTCTCCACAGAAACTTGATGGAAGTTGGGGACTGGGGACAGGCTGCTGGGGACACAAGCTTCCAGGCCTGTCAGGAAACCTGCCATAAAGTCAGGGCTCCACTGCCTTCCTCCAGGCAGGCAGGAAACCCAGGGAACATAATTGTGTTTTAGAAATATTGCAGAATTTCAGTTTAAAAGAACAAACAAAAAACAGTGTGGAGGATTTCAGCCTGCTTCAGGCAAAATTTCTTCCTAAGACTCAAATTATTTTGTGGTACTGAAATTCTATTTCCTGACCAGTTTGGGCACAGCTACACAATACTATATACATGCTTAGACAGAATGAGAGAGAAATCTTTATTTTAAAATATAAAGCAAAAACCAAACATAAGGTGGGAAAGAATAAATGAAAGGAGTGAGAAACAAGGGGAAATGTACCAGTGTATGGCATAGAGAGATACAGGGGTGGGCAAGACATTCCGTTAGAAGAAGGCTGCTTTACACTTCTCCCAGGGTCTGTCAGGGTAGAAATAGCCTTTGATAGTCAGCGAACAACTTGGTCCCTTGTGAAGACATTCTCCTTCCTTTGGAGGCTTGATCCTTGGAATGGGTCTTACACTGGTCCCTGCCTTCTGAATAGCTATGCCAATTTCCTAACTTCTGCTGTATTTGCAGTCTCACAAGTTGCCTCTTGCCTCAGCAGTGATCCCAGGCCCCTGGGCTACTTCTCCCATTTTCCTGGATGGAGAGAGTGGGGGGAGAGAGAGAGAGACTTAGACTGTCCCATTTTCTTCTCTAACCCGTCCCTTGACTTAGGCCTGTGAAGCAGCTCCTTCAGTTGATACATTGTAGACATCCATGGGATGCTTTTCATTCTGTGGAAGTCACGGACAGCCACTGTGGAAGCAGCATGACATCAAAGATGAGACTGAGTACAATAAAAGCATTGTGAAGAGTGATATTACATGGGATTGGCTTACTCAAGAGCAAGGAAATCCCATTCTTTTTCCAAAACCACAGATTGTGGAGAATAACTATTACTGGTGGGCTTCTGTTGAATGCAGGGCTCCTTCAACAGCAGGATCTACTAGTAGGAAAAGCATTCTTTGTCTTTCTTTCCAACAGGAACCTGGCCCAAGAAATGAGCGCCCAGGGCTTCACCATCTCTACCTCTTGCATCCTACCTTCCCTACAGTCCTTTTGGACCTCAACAATATCACCGACATAGTGACTGCTTCAGCCAGTGAGTATGTGTGAGACTGGGGATTTAGTCTCTTCCCAATAGGATACTGAGGAAGGCCAAATGGATGTTAAAAACCTTTCTCCCTTCTGGAGGAGAAGGTGACTGTGGGAGTATCTGGGGCCTTCCTGTGCTTGTCGGTAAGTGTGACTCTTGGTGTCCACTAAGCTTAGGGTAGCAATATAAAAAATCATTAAACGTTACAACCAGGGCTCAAAGCCCATTTTTCTTCATCTCTGTCGTACATCAAGTCTGCTGTTTTGCAAACAGAAAACCCACAGAATCACTCATATGTAAGATAATTATGGAGGAACTGACTGTGATCTCTCACTGGTTCTTTATCAGTGTAACTCCATTGATTTCAGTGGAGGTATTCATGATTAACATTGGCATATGCTGATTCAGAATTGGATCCTACACATTTTGCTGCCCCAAACACACTTTTGTTCTAAGCAGTTTCCTCCTCTGGTTTCTGGTAGAAACTGTTGTGTTTCCTACTTTTTCAAAGAGGTGATTCTAAATTAAGCACTTTGGTCAAATATTTTTTTTCCTTTGATGGTTAAACAAAGTTTTACAGTCAGGCAGGTGGACCACAGGATTTTCACCTTCTTCTAATGCATCTGAGAGACACCCAAGGCAGCCTACCAGACCAGTTAGACCCATGGCCAGTCTGGCATGACAAGAGGTAGGATACTGAGTCAGTTGAACCAGTTGAATCTGGAATGGTAGAAGGTGCAGAAAAACTATCAGGCCATGATTCTTCTATCTATGATGCACTCCACTATACGATTATCTAAAGAGCGAACATAAAGTAGCTGTCAGAGCAGGTAGCTAGGCTTACAGGTAGAATCTTGTGAAGGTTGTTTCTAGGAAAATTTCAGTGCAACAAAAATATTTCCAAGCCCCAGGTATTGGCCCATAGCTACTTGTGCCAAGTGGATCTCATTAAAACAGAATCCATCGCTAAAAAATTATGACAATGAATGCCTTTTTCCAGTCCTTATTTATAATAAATAGTCCTTTGTTACAACAAACAAAAAATTACTTGTAAGTACCGGTAACGCTGGTATTTCACAAACACACAAAAATGTAGCAAGTCATGGCCAAAGCCATTTCACACTTCCTGCATTTTCTGCTTCCTTTGTCATTCATATAAGCTTGTCAGTCAAAAAGGGGCACAAGGTCACAAGTAAGGATAGGCAGATGAATAAAGCAGCAGTTTACCAGGCGGTAAATGGACTTCCTACGTCAGCTACTCCATGGCAACTGTCAGACTGTCTGCTTTTATCCCACAGTAAGTGAGAGCTAAAGCATTGAGGGCTAAACTGAAAGCCATGCAGAACATAGGTAAGCTTATCAGTCAAAAAGGAGCAGAAGTTCACGAGTAAGAGTATTTGTATGGACAAAGGAGTAATTTACTACAGAGTTAAAGGTGTCAGAGACTTATCATGTATCTGCTGTTCCATGATGACCATCCATCTGCTTGTCCTAACCCCACTGTATGTGAGAACCAGGACAGCTTATTTCCCATTGTAACAAAATTTCAATACAAGCCAGATCAGGGTGTCCTTTGAAAGGTCAGTGTGACAAATATGACTTTGGGCAAGCCCATTAAACCCTCTGTCTTTGTTTTCCAGCTTGTAATGGGATGCCTGTTTATGGTGTGCCAGGGATTAAAGTTTTTAATGTTCTGTGAGAGCTATTGCTGAGAGGCTGTCTACCAATGTATCTTGTGATGCAAATATATGTCACTCTCAGCACTACACTCAAAATGCCCTTAGGGGTTTCAGACTTCATGTTCTGATTTATATGACAATTTAGTTCCTGTGCTGATTTTCACCTTATATACCTGTGCACCACTGAACAAAATTACCAGATGTATGTGTAGCTAAGAGCCATAGTGTACTTGGTTGGAGCTCATTCTTGGAAAATTTCTTTTAGAAGAATTGATTTTCTCAGTGCTCACCACTGTTTTTCTCTCCTGTTCTTAATGATCAGTTGGAATTAATGATCTCCAGAAAGATGCATTTTACATCACTATGATGAGGAGTCCTACAGCTGAAAACCAACCAGGATTTTTGTCTGTCAGCAAGCTAGGCCTGAGGTGGGCCATGATGACTCAGAGCCGCATGGTATTGCTTAAGGACACCAACCCCAAGATCAGCCGAGGGGAAATAAGGAGATTCTTGGCCAGGCTGAAATTTATGGATTTTCCTTTCAAGGTGAAAAGATAGCTAACCAAGCCCCTGATGAAATCCATTGCCAAATGCAAAGGGTGGGATGGGTTGTGGGGAGGGAGTAAACAAGCAGGGAACACCAGGGTCTGGTGATTCTTTGCCTGTTGGGAAATAACAATGAAATAATTGTCTTAGGAGCAAGAAAAAGAAACCAGGTGGGAGATGGAAAGGGGCTGAGAAGGCATGGGGAAATGGAGGATCCCCTGCTTTGACTACGAGCAAATGGAGTCCAGGCCTTTCTCTGGCTATGCTGAGGCCCAGCTGTGCTCTACAAAGAACCCATTTTTCTGCCTAACTAATGCCTTCTTTTTCTTTCTCCAGGTCTAGGATGTTGGCTCCTCAGGTTTCACATGCACAGGGTGGATATTTGGCCCTTGGTGGCGTAGGGAAAGATGCTCAGTGATTCTTCATCATACTTGCTGTACAAAGGGAGCAGGGACTGAAGCCACTCCCCTGTCCCTTCCTCAAGCTTGCCAGAAAAAGCTGGGGTGGACAGGCTTGTCAGCTTCTGATAGCTGCAACACAGGAACGCTGCTGGACCTCTCCCCTGCCACACCCTGCTTGCGTGCGTCCTCCAGGTACTGTGGAAATGTGAATGCAGAAAAGTGTGTATATATATATATGTATGTATATTTTTTGTATGTTTTAATTTATGAACTATTTCCAGGAAACTCCTGTTTGTATTCAAGCAGTATTTCCATTCATTGTGTTTTAATCCCACTGTTTTACTTGGGGAACCATTGCCTGGCTCCTCCATGGCTGGTTTCATCATACAGGTTCCTCCAGCTCTCCTACCTCTTTTACTTTAGGTTCACCACTGTATCCCCTCACTCTCAGTTCCTTGGAATGTCCAGCCCTCCCTGATTCAGCTAGTTTGGAATAAGCAACCAAGAGGCAAAAAACTCCACAATTCCTTTTTAACCCCCTGAGCCTACCAGTTTCTTCTCCCATGCACAAATTAGGGTTGGAAATGTAGATATGAAAGGCCCACGTCTCATATCCAGCTTTGTCTCTCCCTTTGGTCTTTCTTATGAGCCCTTATGGCATCACATGATGTCTGCCTTAGTGCAAACAAATTAAATCATATGAACCATGTATTCCTGAGTAGTACAGCACAGGTAGATTGGCCAGTATGTCTGGCCTCTGGAAGATATCAATAGTGTGTTATAGAGTGGTTCTTAGTTTGCATAGAGGCTCTTTTGTCACACCCAGTATCCAGTACAAGAGGCTTAAGGTAATGCTGGGAAACCCTTCTCTGCCGTTCCTCAGCTGTAGTTTTGGTCCCTTGGGACCACTGAGAGAAAATGTGAGTTAAAACAGCCAAGGGTTGCTCAAAGGTAATCATGGAGACAGACCAGTGCTCAACACAGTAGCCCTAGACAGGCTTCATATTAGCATTCACCCACCCTATGTGGAAGTCTGCTAGAATCTGTCCCCATAGATGTTTGAAATTTACTGTCTGTGCCATGATTGTGGAGCATGTATGTAAAGCCTGCTGTGACACATGCAATGCCTCTTTAGTGACCTTTGGTCCCTACACATTCCTCCCCCTCCCCATCCCCCTACTCCACTGCAAGGCATTCCCTTATAGATATTGGTTTCCCAGCAGATCTAGTTCTGCTCCCCCTGTAGCATTGGCAAAAGCAGTCAGCCGCAGACCTAACACAGATCTTCTGCTATTGCCTGCTGCTATTGTCCTCCAGCTGGTATTTTTTCAGTACTTCCTTTCTTAGTGCTGAGGGCCTGGCATATTTTGCACCTCCCTTTAAAGGGCCCATTGCATCTTTGCGGAGAGTTGTCTCCTTTGCTTGGTTTCTTGGGCCATCTTCTGAATACTTGTCTGTCTCACTGCATCTCCTATAAAATGGCTCCCTGCAGTCTCTTTTAGATTAGCTGCAATTCCCAAGGCTGGCCCTTGAGCCCCTCCCTGGTAATGCCAGGGCTTTGTGCAGAGCTTTACATGTAATGGCATTTTTGTGTAAATAGCCCTGTACATATTAGCACATATGTAGCAAGGGGCTATTTGCCTTGGCACCTGCCTTTTGTCTCCTGTCTTCTGGCAGGGCTAGGTGCTTTAGAAGTGTTTGGTTTAGTTTGAACAGTGGTGACTGAAGTACCAGTGGCAGAGGAAGTTAATTAGAAACAGGGCTATACTCCATCCCCCTTCTTTTCTACCACCACCTTGCAGAAAAGGCTTGAAAGCTTTTACCTGAAATAGTAATTGTCCTTAGGTTCTTCCTCAAATTCCTAGGCCAGATATTTAATGTGCAGTGACACTAGCTCCTCCATAATGTGAATTCTTTTCCCTTATCCCCACTGTGAATAGAAAGTCTGTCTGTATATTGTCAGGAAAAAAATATTTGAATTATAAACTGCTGTGGAACAAATAAATATAGTGTACAGCATTGCCTCTGTGTGCAACTTCATTTTCCTTTTGGAGACTGTGCTTTTGTAGTAGTAGACATGACTAGGGGGAAAGGAGAGAAAGCAGGATCCTGCCCTTGAATTGCTGCAGATACTGTGAGGGAAATGGGTGGACAGGCTTCTTGCAGGAGTCTGGGGAGCAAGAGGGGAACAAGCAGCACAGGAAGAAAGCTTGAAGTGCAAGGAGCATAGACGGGAACTTCAGTGAATCTAGGGGCATGGAAAAAAAATGGTGCACAGAAATTGGATGATAGAGGGCATAAAAATGGAAAGAAGATGGAGAAAATGTAACCAGAAGATTATGGAAGATGAGAAAGATACCTTCTCATTTTCATTGCAGTGGGAAGCTTGCTGAACTTGAAGGCCTAATTCCAGCTTTGCCTCTAGATAGGGCAGTGGCTGGAAACCTTAAACAAGCTACAGGCCAGAACAACCTGGCTGCAGTCTGACTCAGGCCTGGCAGTATCTGCAGTATATTGTACCAGGGGGGCTTTCCCTGCACCACACCAGGCCCAGGTAGCTGCGAGCTACATCCATGTTGCCACCACTTCTAGCCTCCCACTCCTCAGCTGCATCATGGAGACAGCTTCCAACTGTTTGGGAGCTGCACTGGGGGTGGGCAGTTTTGAACTGCATCCACACTACTGCTGCTTCTCCCTGCTTCCCTCCTACATACCCCTCCCAGATGAAGTGTGGGCACAGCTGCAAGCTGCCTGACCTGACACAGCTCCCTACCATCTGGAAGGTGAGTCCAAGCTGTAGGGAGAAGTACCAGCAGCGTGGACGCAGCTAGAAATGCCTGGCCTCAGCTTGGTGTGTGGATACAGACAAAACTCCAGCCCTGCAGGCCAGATCCAGCCCATAGGCCATACCTGATGTAGAGTCTAGATCCTAAACTCCCAAGGTAGTCATAACTGTGCAACTTAGTCACAGAGCAATGAAGGAGGAGGAACCCAATAATCTAGTGGTTAGGGGTGAGTGGGAGACCTTTGTTTAGGCTCCCTTTACTGAAGGGTTTTGAACCTGCACACGTTCTCTAGGCACAAGGGCATGAGCTAGGTAGTGCCCGGAGCACCCCCTGTTGAAGATGGCCTGCTCAGTAATCAAGAAAAGAAGATATGTAGGGCCAGGAGGAGGACAAGACAGAGGGAATTTGGCTCAGTAAAACAGGCACTGCCTGGAAAGTAATGAGCCCCTGGGTTCTGGACCCTGTCTAGTTCCAATGGGGCTTCTGCTGCTACCACTGTTCTCTATCCATTTTATCCAGTGACTAAGTGCAAAACATCATTGGATCAGGAGAAGGAGTTAGAAGCGTGGTGACTAAGGACATAGTCAACATAACTTTCTAGAAGAAATGGCCTCTGCCTTTACCATTCATGGTGCACGTGGTAACATCTCCCTCAAACTTCCAATAAAGCAGACAAGCTCCAGGGGTTTAAGTCACTGTCAGTATAAGTGGTCTTGCATTGCTCCCCAACCTTGTTGCTTCCCCTTCCTCTTCCCTGCTTCCAATATTTCTGTAATATTAAAGGAATCGGCACCCCTTAGACTGTGTTAACAATAGTGCTTCTTTTTGATTCCACTTTTTCTACCCTAACAGTGTTCCTCCCCAATTGATTGTCCCAGGACCTCATCCAGGTCTAGGTCAGGTTCCCGCTGTAACACATTTTGCTGCAACTTGGAGTAGAAGTCAATCCCCTCTGAGATGGAATGAATAGGCTTGTCTTGGTGCTGGTAATAGCTGCCCATCTGTTCCGATGGGTGCTGCTGTGGCATGTAGCACTTGTGATGCTGTGGCTGGTCCTTGAAGCTGCCATCATAGCCCTTGACACGGTTACGTTTGAACTCCAGAACTGTCTTGGTGTAGATGTTGAGAGTTGTGACAGCAGAGGCCATACAGCAGGTGAAGGAAGACCAGGCCATGCTAAGAGAGAGGAAAGGGAACCCAAGGTACAATTAGGATCTTATAGAATTCATCTTTGGAGTAAAATGGAGTTGAGATGAATGATACATATTGCTAATGGCAGCCTTAGCAATGCAGCCTTGCTGTTGCAGCCTTTCTGAAACACCAGACCAAAAGGCATTAGCTGGAGATGGACATCAACTAGACTGACCAGGGCTTTAGCCTGGTCAACCATTTTAGACATGACCAATTCAAGCTGTTTTAGGCATTCAGCTTTATCCTGTCATTGTTTTCAATTCCCCCAGACCAGGAATAGTTTGAAACTGGTAAAATTTCAAAGTGAAAAGCTCATAACACAAGTTTAACTCCCCCTCTCTTTGGTCTTCCTTGTGAGGCCAGAGCTCCCTAGAGCTTCATGCCAACTCTATCCTGATGCAAAGACTAGTTTGGAGAACACCCTAATGAAAATGGCATCCTCATTTGTATTAGTTTGGTTCAATTCATTTTAATGTAAGAGTGGAAAGTGTCTCCTGTCCCTGCATTTTCAAACCATTAACTCAAGGAGTTCTCAACATTTCTTCTTCATTCCCTCAAATACAGGCATAAGACACAACCCAAAATACACCACAGGTAAGAATGAGAGAAGGCAGCATTGCCAATGTCTGGCCACTACAATTACAGGGAAGTAGTTTGTCAGTACATGCTCAAGAGATCCAAGGAAAATGACTACACTCTATGCTACAGAAGAAGGCACAAAACCCCATTAATACGATACAACGCAGGGGTTTTCAACTGTTTTTGGTTGGTGTACCCCCAGTGACTGGTTGAGGAGCAGGGAGTCCCCCAGCCAGCCAGTCTACAAATGGAGGGGGGGGAGAGTCCCCCAGTGGCTGATTGACGAGCCGGGGGGAGGGGGCCCCTGCGCACAGTGGCGAAACCAGAAGCACCGGTGGCAAAACCGGAAGCGTCCCCCGCTTCTCTGTGCCACTGACGCATACCCCCTGGGGCCTTCCCAAGTACCCCCAGGTATATGTGTACCCCTAGTTGACAACCCCTGATCTAAGGGAAAAATTCCTTCTTAACCCCAAATTGGGCAGTCAGCATAACGCTAAGCAGAAGAACAAGACCCTCTAGCCAGGAAACTGGGTTTTCTAAATACCAGTAGGAGCATCAGTGGATCCCAGTCACTCCCTCTGCCCCAGCCTTAGCTGTGGACAACCAACATTTCAATGCTTCAGAGGAAGATGAACACCCCTCCTCCCTAAAAGCCAATAGCATTCATGAGGGGAAACCAATTCCTTCCTAGCCCAACCAGCAATATGCAAAAGCCCTGAAACAATGTGACTCCCAGACACCTTCCACAGTTTGGGAGAGCTTCCTTTACAAATAGTATAGGACTGTATATCACATTCACTCACTATTAAACCAGGACTCCCTGTCCTATCATACCATTGCTTCCTCAAATTTGTCCTGTTCAGTCTTAAGGCAACTAAGGTTCATTGTCCCAATAACTTTGTTTGGAAGGGGGAAAAAAAATCAAAATGTCACTCTTCTGATAGCCATACATTGTTTCTAATTTACAGTCTATATGTAGCCAGTTTGTACCAATTTAATCTTGAACTGGAGCAGTTTTTCAGCCACAAACATTCTTCTCCTTCCCTAGCATTCACCCTATGAATGTGCTTGTAGAATGACCTTATTCCCTTTCTCAGTCTCTGTTTTGCTCAACTAAATAAACCAGACTCCTTTAATCTTCTTTCATGAGAAAAAGTCTCCACTCTCCCAACCGTTTTAAATGCCCCTTCCTTGAATTCATTCCAGTGTAAGTTAATCTGTTTTTAACACTGCTGATCAGAACTGCACACAGTAGTCTAAACAGAGTCTTACCAATGCCTTGCATGCTAGGGTTTTGCAAAGCTTCAGCCCCTGATTTGATTCAGAGGAGATTTGGCCAGATTCGGCGGCCAAATCTCCAAATTGAAATTGAATCAGGAAACCCTTTAATCTCTCCGAATCGAATAGGAACCTTCTGAATCGATTTGGAGAGATTCAGAAAGGTTCAGCGATTCGAACATAGACACAGCTTTACAAGTTTTTTCTACATACCTTTAAAAGTTTTTTCTACATACCTCTAGGTAGCAGATGGCTCAGGAACACTGCGATGCTGGGGCACATGGAGTGTCCCACAGGAGCAGAGGGGGCTCCCCAGTGCACATGGCAGCAGACCTGGAAGTGCACTAGAAGCACGTCCGGTCCACTTCCAGGTACACCACGGAGCACAGTGGGGAACACCCCTGCGCTCCCCCAGCTCAGCAATTGGTGCCTCCTGGGTCTGGGAGGGCACCTGGGGTCTCACCATGGCCGATTGCCAAGCCAAGAGGTGCAGGGGGCCTCCCTAGCAGACCCAAAAGTGGATCAGAAATACTTCCAGTCCACTTCCTGTTTCACTGCTGAGCATGCGGAGGGCTCCACCACGCTTCTGTGGGACACTCCAGCCACCCCACCATCGCAGCATTCACAAGCTACCTGGTACATTGAGATACGTAGAAAAAACATTTAAAGCTGTGCCTGTGGCTGAATTGCTGATTCTCTGAATCAGCATCGAATCTTCAGATTTGGATTCAGCTGAATCGAATCAGAGACAGTGATCTGAATCAATTAATCAAATCACTGTCCCTGATTCAGGATGAATCTGAATCCGAATTGAATAGGATCCGTTCCCTCTTGTATACCTCTGCTAGTTAAGAAGCTCTACATCAGGGTAAGCATGTTAGCAGAGGTATGGCAAAGATTGCATTTGTAACTAAGATTATTGAAGGGACTTGATTATAGAGGAGATTATGAAGAGCAAAATGAAAGCTGATCAAGCCCTCCTTTTTTGTTTAATAATGTCTCATAGCATGAGCTGGGATTGGTCTGGGGGTCACTTGAAGATAATGGCAATTAAACTTAAAACTAGTGCAAAACAAATACTTCATATAGTAATTGGTCAGTTGAATCAGTCCCCTCCAACCATTACAAAGCCAGATCTCACACCTAGCTTTAATGAGTCTTGGATAATTTTATGGTCACACACTGTAATTTTGATAATTCCATCTCATATTTTAGGCTAGTAACTGATCACTGCCTAGGTCAAGAAAGAACCTTCCCACTTTTCATCTAATGCATCATAACTAATCAGTGTTTTTATGGGTTCTGTGTGTTTCTCTGAAGCTTTAAGTTTTAGCCACTGCCATTCAAAGGGTCTCAGATTTAATATGATCTATTTGAGTATGGAGACTTTTGTATTCCCCAGAGTATCTCCTCTGATCCCAGTGCTGCCAACCACTTAGAAACTCACTCAGGAGCCACAAAACAACACAATCATGACTTCGACTTTCTCTAATGTTTCCCTATTAAGTGGGTGGTACCTCTTTTTCTGTAAAACAAGCATTATACCCATGTATGGGTTAATAATGAACAACAGGCACTGTGCTCAATATCTCACTGCATACCAGAACAAATTCCCTCAATTCCTGTTAACCACAGATAGAAATATAGAGCAGTTATGGGGCTACCTATACTACGTAGAGAAGGTTTACTACATTCAGCATACACGTTGATGTGAGGTGCAGATTTGTAACAGTTGAGCACATGCACTGGCAACACGTAGGTGGTGCATGTGGGTGCACTTGCACACCCTGAACATGGTGGTGCATCCTCTGTGAAAAGGTGCTGCTGACACTGCCTGTGGCGCCTGCAGGCGGTCACCACTTACCACCCCCCACCCCCACCAACACTGCCCGTGGCGTCTGCGGGCACCATTGGACACCGCTGCCACTGCTGGCAGTGTCTCCGGGTGGTCACTGACCACTGGTCGGCGCTCGCCACCCTTCCCTGCTGCCGATAGCACTGTGGCTACCTGTGTGAGCTCCCCACTTGCCACGGCCACGCTCCCGCCGCTGACTGCAGCACCGCCACCTGCACGAGCTCGCCAGCCTGCAGGGGCACACACCATTCATGAGCACATGTAATACTGAACAACATAAGCAACAGCAATCTCACGTGGAAGGACAGTGTAAAAACCCAGAAGAGGAGGAATCTGATGACTAATTTCTATAAACCATCAGGCACTGTTTTGCACTATTTCACTGACACAGCTGTTCAAGTCAGTGTTTTCAAACTGTTGTGTGACATGATAGCTATTTGGTTCCTAGCTCTTCATGCATTAATATTAAAATGCAGAGGGGTGTCAACATTAATAGTAAAGCAATGGTGAAATGGAGCAGATGGGACAAACTAGGCACATCTACACATGCCCCCCACGGTGCAGTTGTTACTGTGCCATCATTTAGTACTTGCTTTAGGAAGTACTAAATGACGGCGCAGTAACAGCCATTACTCCACTGTCCTGGTGGCACAGTTATTTTTAGCAGTTACGTTGTCATAGCAATGCACTATAATGAGGTAGCTTGTCACTATGGCAACATAGCGTTGGTGTCACAGTTTGTGCCCACCAATGCTACGTCGTAGTGACAAACTATGTTGCCATAGAGCATCACTACACTGATGTAGCATTACGTGTAGATGTGCCCACTGATTCTAAGAAAGGGCTTGGAGGTAAAGACCAGGCTACAACACAGCCTAGGAGCATGGGAATCTTGTCCTCCCACAAGCTCTGAGATATTGAGCCTGTTCAGTATTTGCATGGAAAATGATGGGGACATCAGGATATAGTGGCTTTCCTCCCTCTAATTCAGTATTAAACCAAAGCTCCAGGATATTGTTAAGAGAGGTTTTGACCATCCACATTAATTAAAGAAACCACAGTTCCTGGATCTTATCCAGTGCTGGCCAAACTTCAGTTTGCATAATTAAATTTTGCCTCATTAAATTCTCCCTGCACAGCCACAGGGTTTATCGTTTCTTATGCTAAAAGGACCCTCATGGTTGAATATGAGGAAACACTGAGTAACAGCAAAGACTGGTGATTGTGGAATAGTTTCCCCTTGAAAAAGGGTGAAAGTTGCTTTACTTGACTCATTTAAAACTGGGTTGGGCAAAACACTGGAAAACATATGCTTCAGGGAACAATCCTGCAGTGGATGAGATGTGACCTACTATGTTTTCTGCATGCCTAAGATCTATTATATTAATCTTTTCAGGCACGGGATGAGGTGAAGGTGTTACAGTGGCACCAGGGAAACCATGCTAGAGCTATCTTTAGGAGCAAGGAGGCTAATAGGAAATGGGTGAATTCTTGTGGGGTGGAGTGTGACAGAAGCCTCCAGTCAGGGGAGGTGAAGAGAGCCTCACAGCTCACATACTAGAAGGCCCAGCCATAGTCCCATGAGTGTGGTCTCCAGTCCTCCGGCCCCAGATTGACAGTTGCTTGGAAGACTTGTGTGAACATCATGTGCGCCACCATCCCAAGCAGGCCTAAAGCAAGAGGACAGGAAGACAAAGTTGTCATGATGGGGCCAGGGCCTTACCTCATCTCTGTTTAGGGACTAAGGTTTAGAATCATATTTATCCTCACGCTCTGCAAATTTAGCAACTACAGAACTAGCATCCCCTGGGCCCTGCTCTGTCTATTTGGGTCACCTTCTTTTCCCTCTGGTTCTCTGTTATTTTCCCCCAACTCTGCTCATTTCTTGCTCTCTCTTGCTACCATGTTCTCTCCATTGTCCTCCTACTCCCTTATAAACATTCTGCAAGGCCTTTACTTCACTTTCCTCCCCAGAGCAATTCTTGAACTTTTTCCTGATGGGATTTAGACTCTGTGTTATGCTGCCTTTGGAAACACGTTCAGAGTTTCATGCCTGTAGAGAGGTACTCACCTGACAGCACAGAGAAGACAGCAGCAAAGGCATTGAGCTTCAGTCCACAGACAGGATTCCCTGTGTACAGGATCTCCATCACCAGTAGGATGAAACTAATAAGCAGCAAGCTGATGTAGAACATCTCTGAGCCTAGTGACAGCCACAGGATTCCTGCCATGAACAAGAGGAAAGAACAAATCTTTCAGAGTTAGCATATGTTAGAGACATAACCTGCCACAGTGAGAGTACTTCCTCCTGACCTCCTGATTATACAGTTGTGATGCCCACCATAAACAGGCTCATGCTAGCTTTCCCCAGAGCACTCCAGGAAATACTGGGCAAAACCTGAATATGGGGCTTGCCTACACATAGCCCTTTTAAGTGGGATTAGCCTAAAATCGCCATTTTAAAGGCACATTAAGGGCGTGCACATGTAATCCCACCTAAATTTGATACCTGCTTAAAGCAAGTACCAAATTTAAGCTGGCATAGTTAAATCGCATTAGCCCACGTGTGGATGCTTTATGCACATTAGCAGGGCACTAATGCGACTTAGCAATGTCAGCCTAAATTTAATGCGCCTTAATGCTCATTAGTGCATCTGCATGTAGATGCATGCCTAAATTGCCTTAATGCGCCTTAAGCAAAGGTTCATTAAGTTTAGGCATGTGTAGCTACATGTGTAGACACGCCTACAGTGAAAGTAACACTTCCCACCAGCACATCCCATTAAGGACTTAAGTGATTTCTGTAGGTCTCATGCAAGCCCCTTGTACAGCAGGACCCTCCTTCTATAATGCATGGGGAGGTAGACACTACCTAGAATACATGTGGAGGTAGGATCTAGAAAACTCAGCACATTGAGCAAGAAACTGCCTAAACCAGTGAATAGAAAACAGTGAGCCTTAAACCACATGCTTTTCCAGGACTTAGGCCCAATTTGCTGCAAGTGGTCCTATTTTCTACTGAGGATTCACATACATGAACACTTCTCCTGGAGTTAGACACCTAACACCAATCTAAGGAAGGGTCAGTTCTTTCAAGCCATGGTTGGAGGAGTGTGCAGTACCTATACCAACAGTGCAGTGGTTAGTGCACTCAGCTAGAATACGAGATATTTAGAGATTATAACTCACATTACCCAGATCCCTGGAAAGTTCCCTAACTATCAGGTTATAGGATGTTTGGGGGCTCTATAATCTCCTCCTGTTGAATCTGCTGCACTTTGCATAGTACAACTAAATACCCACTGGACCAGTGAGAGAAGAGAGAGCATGTGATTCTGTAACCGAGGGCAAGGGGTGGATCGGTGTGGCAGTTTCTACTGTAATTGAATGTTCAAGGATTTGTAGAAAGTAGAGCAGCTTCAACAGGCACAGTTGAGAGATGCCCTACCCCAGAATACCCTATGGGGTACAGAATGCTTCTAGGACATAAAAGCTCTGGGTTTGAGTTCCCCACAGGAAGAGAAATGATTTCAGCCATGTCTCCCATGTCTCAGCAGAGTATTCTGATCATTGGATAATTGTTTTAAAGGAGTTGGAGCAAAAGGGGATGCAGCCAGCTCCTCCTCTGGCCACATTTTATGTAGGATTACAGCATAGCTATCAGACCAGGTCCAACAAATGAAAGATGGGAGAATTCCTATTTTCTGAATCCTGATGGGGTGTAGGGATGAATCAGGCACCAAGCTGTTCAGTGCCATCAAACCTAATTGTAATACTTTCTGGGTATACTCCAAAGGAGACATTAAGGCAGCTAGGAAAGTTTGCTGATAAAAAATTAGCTACTAGTCAGATCCACAGAAGGACTGAGGTGCTCACCTGACACCTGACTGCCATTTTAGGTGCTTAAGTCCATTATTCAGATCTTCCAAACACCTCCCCAGCTGCTTCCTAACTTTGGAGATTCCATACAGTTCACAGGCACCTACATTTTTGACTGTAAAATTCTCTAGGTGCCTAAAGGTTGACAAACTTGTCAGGGAAACATCTCTGTCACTGGCAAGGCACACTAAGATCCTTTGGAGCACATCTACCAGACTCAGATGTGTAGAAATGTGGCTGGAAATGATGACGCTGCCACTCCATTTTTTTATCCAATAGCAAAGAAGTTAGAGCACTTCCCTGGAATGTGGAAAACTCAAGGTCCATTCTCTTTTGCATCTGAGAGGATTTGAACCTGACTCTCCTCTCTCCAAGATGAATGGGTAAACTACTATACAGGAGGTGTTCTAGAGTGAGGAGGGGGTTCTCCTCAATACCTTCTGTTAAAGCTCTTCCACTTCCACAGCAGTGCTAGCCCCTTTTTATAGAGAAAGTAGCCACTATTTTGGGACACCCCACTTTTTGGATGCCCAGTCTGAGACACCAAGGACAAAATCCTGGTCTCAGTGAACTCCATGGAAGTACTGTCATTACATTTAAAGTAATTACATTTTCAATGATTCTGACCACCCACAGCTCCCCTTCCCTCCAGCCATAGTGGGCACTTTGCACCATTGAGATCCAGATTAACTAAATCTCCCAAAAATCCAAATAACCAAAATGTGTGGCCCCTTTTGCAGTATGTGACTTGTCCAAGAACATTCAGCCCACTTGTGCTACTATTTACCTTTTTCATTACTGATGTGCTTGTTATGATCAAAGGTTGCATGATGAAACAGTGAAAGAAGTCAATCTTTTCCTGCTTTCTACTTGAGCGGAAAGTAGAAAGCATCAGAAAACGTATGAGGAAAGTTGAGATTTTTAGCATTGATTTTGCAGATACCAGAGGCTTGACTAACTACCTAGAGAGAAATCCTGTCCCTTCTGACTTCAGTGCAGGCAGGATATCACCCATGAACCTAAAAATCCTAATTTTTGTATACTATCCTCCCAACCTGCTGAAACTTCCCCATCTCTCAAGAAGGTGCATTGGGAAATTCTAGTAAGCTAAAGAAAAGGCTAATTCTTACCTCTCTCCCCTGGGGGTGAGAGCTCGATGAAACTTCGGCATTTCTCATCTGAAATGCAAACAAAACCAGTCTCAAGTGATGCGACTTCTCAAAGGATGGTTGAGGAGGTAGGAGAAAAAAAATCCCCCGTGTTTGACTCTTGTTTTTCTCTACCAGGCACGACTCCACCTATCTTAAAGTCTTCTAGGCTTTGCTATCTTTTTGGCCAAGGAAGTAATTACTTTGATCTCTTTTTGGCTCTCTGGTGGAGAAAAGTATGGAAGAAGGATAACTCCTGTCTGTCCTGCAGAGGCAGGAAGCTTCATGCATTAAAAATCCCCACAAAATTCAATATAGTCAAGCATAACAATACTATACATTTAAAACATTATAAAGTTGTGATGACATAAAACAAGTATTTGAAAGGAAATAATTTTGTATTAGATGTTACATAGGCTGCTTTAATTTTCTAATTGCACTAGTTTTATCCAGGAGACCATAAATCTGCTTGCATCTTACTTATACTTCTCTGTGATTTTCCATTACAAACTCTCATGGCCAACAAACTCAGTGAAAATCACCCCCACTTGTCTGATCATTAATTCCAAAACACACCAATTTATTTCCTTGTCTCTTGCCTCAGTCCAATTTCTAACTATGATAAGAAGCCTACAAACCATCAGGCTTATCAACCTGCACATCCAGTCCATCTACCTCTGTGCTCTGAGCTAGTCAGCTCTAATTTAGTCCATTCACTCTTTTTTGCAGGCTGGAAATACTATTATACTTTCTATATTAGTCTTTCTGATGGAAATCACAGACTTCACTCCAGCCATGAATGAATTATTTTCCAATCCACTGACCCCATCCTAGGGCAGAATAACTCACATACCACCCTTAGCTAGGACATTATTTTTTCCATAAAAGAAAGAGGGGGCCCTGTCTGTAATGTTTTCATTATGGGTCCAGGATTTTACAAGATGTCCAAAGCTGTAATAGTTGAAGTGCATCACCATTCAAGTGATAAAAGACAGAAATACAGGCAAAGAGCCAAGGTTATTTGTGTACCTGTAATTGCATGTTTCCACATTTTTAAAGGTTTCATTTTAAATAACTGCAGTTCTCAAAACTGTTTTAAAATAGCTGATACATATCTAAATAAATAAGATTTCTTTTGTCCAGAAATGTGCTTACTTTGCTTCAGAGACCACAAAAACAGTCTTTTGTAGTTTCCTCACTAAATCTCCAGACCCAAATACACAGAGCAGTGAACAGCATGACATGCAAAAATTTTTATTCAAATGTCATGCCATGATCATTATTGCAGCTCACTGTGCCTGTGTATATTTTCACTTCCATAAGCTTTTTACTTACCTCTGCTAGCAGACATTAGAACTTCTATACAATTGTTATTTCAAATATTGCACTCAAAAGGATACACTTGGAGCCTCACTGAAGTCAACTGCAAAACTCCCTGGAGTTCACTCTTGAGATTTGTTAAGATGCCCAGGACTTTTATAAGGAAACCAAAGCCTAGGAAAAAATCTATTTTGTTCTGTAACAAACCCCACGTATGCAAAGATTCACTGCAAAGGGGTTGGTTTCAATATATTCTGAACACGTGCAATGTCTTGCTTGCCCTCCACAATGAAAGTTTCTTTAAGCAATATGCCCAGACTCCTACTTTAGTTAGCCGTAAAAATCCAGTGGCCTGCTGTTTCTATGGTGCAGACTGCTAGCCTACTTGACTATGACTGTTGTGGTAGTGGGGTGGGATCACACACATTATACAAGCTGCAATCTGTGATGCATGTCTGATTTAGACAATCAACTGTCCTAAGGAACTAAGGCACATTATAATAAGAGCTGGCTGCTATTTTGGCTTGAATATTTATATCACCAAAAATGCAGGTGCGTGCGTGTGTGTGTATTTGCTTCAAAACAGAAGGACAGTTACCTAATTGTAATATTAAAAAATTACAAATAAAATATAAATTCAACAAAGGAAATGTCTTATTCAACCTAAAACAGCATTTTTCTTTTTCTCTCTTCTCCTCCCAGTATGGTCTGTGAAGTAGAAATATCAATCATTCTTATAGCTCTGACTATAATCTTTTATGTGTTCCTTTGCTAAGGATTAGAATGGGTTGGAAATTTTCTGGCAGAAAGTTTTTCTGGATAAGGCTGGTTTAGTGAATCTAGAATGTATCATTTACAACAACTTGGGTTCAGTGAGAAGTCATCCTGAAGGACTCCCCAGGACCAAGGACCTGATGCTTTCAGGGTTTGCAGGAAAGTCTGGCTTGGAGCCAGAGACCATGGCTGCCATCCAATGAAATTGAGAATCTCCTCTTCTGAGCAGTGAAACTAACAAATATATCAATTTCACTAAGCAGTTTCAGGATCCAGGGTAGTTACATATCATGGGAAAGTGTGAACACATTTTGGTTTTCAACTCTAAACCAACATTTGGAAAGATAAAGGAAAATTTCCTTCAGACAAAAAAAAATGATTTTTGGGCTGTCCTACTGCGGGTTTGTCCACACCATGGTGGCAACATGCCCTAACAGAGGCATGCACAAACACACCTCACCTGCCTGCACTTACTCCCACTCCTACACCTAAACCCAGAAATATACCAGTGAGGCCATTCTGAAGCCATGCCACACACACAGGCCTGGAGACCAGTCATAGAGAGTTGTCCCCAGAACAGCAGAACCAGCATATGAAAATGTTTAGCATGTGGAAGTGGGAGCAGGTAGGAAGGCATGGTGAATGCTGCTGCTGCAGTATAGACATACTCTTAGGATCCAATGCAACATGTGCCTGAAATGAACCAGTTCTTGCTTATGCAATGGGACCAACACCCAACTCCATCTCAGATAAAAAGCAGTTTCTTTACTTTGGACATACTTTATCTTAAAAACAATACACTCCCACCCCAGATGAAACTCTGAACCTCTCTACTGAAAAAGGGGTGTCTCCCCCCCCACCCTGAGTAGGGAGTTTGATTAGAGGAACTTACCCCTCCCAACTTTTATGTATACTATTTAGACATATGCCATCCAAAATTGCTTTACCTCCCTTTTTTCTTTTGCTTCTGTATTACCACGCAAACTACTGTCTGTGCCCATTATTACCTCTACATCTCTCTTTCCATTACTGCTTTCCAGAGTTCTCCTTCCCAATGAGTCTCTGCCTGGCAGATTATTTTTTCCAGATGTATTAGCCTGTATGTTTCTCAGATGAATTTCATCTGGCTATTTCCTGGCCACAATTCTAATCTTTCCAAATCCCTTGTATTATTTTTCTGTCCTCAGTGGTGTTCAGGGTCCCTCCCAATTCAGTACTATTTGCAAATTTCATTAACATGTTGTCCACTACCTCATCCAGAACTTTAATAAGGTTATTAAATAATGTTGGCCTAATGCTGATCCTTATATTGGCCCCATGAGACACCTTGTCCTAACTTAATGTATGGCTGCAGATTGTATTTTTTGTTTCTGCTCCTGCCACTAGCTTTCAAGATCCATAAAAGGGGGTAGATTCAAGCCAGTCTGGATTAATTCTGAGTGTATGATTTCATGAAACACTGTACAAAATACCTCACTAAAATCCAAACCAGTCACATCTGCTGTCCCTTCAGGCATGGCTGCTATTCCAGTACTGTCCAGAGGCCTGTTAATTCTTTCAGAGAAAAACCTTGCACTCAACCAATGCAGTCCCATTCCCAATTCACCCCACAGTCACCATGGAAATATGCATTACAGCCTTAGCCATCTGTAAATTAAAAGCATTCCATTCTTAATCATCCCTGAAAATGCCAAAAACAAATCAGGCCTCTCATTGGATCTAACAGGGCTGAATATTTTTTTAAATTGTCATCCTGGTTTTAGGCAAGATCTTTCTATTTTCAGACTTCTACCCCAATAGATAAAGTAAGAAACATACAGAATTAAAGTGCATATAATGCCTCCTTTACATAAGAAGTTATGTTATGCATGCACTGGGGCATAGATGGGGAAGTTGACTTCATGCA